CCAAATGATTGATCTTATCCAGTTGTACCACCCTACCAACCACTTTTATCCTTTTCCCAAAAATATCTCTCAAAATATCTCAGATTTGTTTTTATCTAAAAAGGCGCCGCCATTGAGGATCGATCCAACTTCAATTCGATAGATCTCAGCCATGTTCGATCGATCCAAGTCCAAGGTTCGATCGATTGAACTTCCTCCAGTGCGAAAAAGTTAAATTTCCAGTTCACAAAAGTTGTCCTTTATCCAATCATTGGAGAATATTTGTTGTACGACCCCAACTCATTTTGGGTGTCATTTGACCTACCTATATAAGGATAAGAATTACTTTTTATGAAGAAAAAAAAGATCATATTGTATTATCTCATATCATATCATACCTTAAAGAACTCTTATGGAGGAAGTAAAGAAGATGAGGAGGCTAGAGACACCATTAGAGACTTTTCATCAACCAAGGAGCAGATTTCTTCCATAGAGCTTGCCCTTGAGGGTTGGAGGACATCATCCATGAGTGGCTAGACATCCTCTTGGGGCTAGAGTTAGCCCTAAGCATGCTTTCTACTTCTTGATTTATGTATTTTTGAGGGGATTTGTATTGTGATTCATGTATTGACACTTTTATATATATAAATCTTGTTTATTCAATGATTTATATGGTTTAATGCTTCCAATTGATCATTTCATTCTATCCATATGTCTATGTATGCTAGAATAGATGTTCATGTGTTTGTCTCTATTTCTTGTGTTATTGATGCATGTCTATATGTATTGATGCTATAGATCTAGAGATTGTCAAGACATAGTGCTTAATGTCATGTTCTTATGGTTTATTTGAAGGTTCATACTCATTGCTTGATGGATTGTGCCTCCCTTAGTTTAATTAGTTTAATTTCATGTCATTAGTTTAGTTATAGTGTAGTTGTTAAATGGGAGGACAATCCATGCTTGTTGTTGATGTTCCATACTTATGAAAAGCAAGTAACATGTATCTCTCACCTTGTGATGTGTTTAGATTGTGAGCTTAAAGAAATGATTAATGGCTTCATTTGATATGTTGTGTTATCCACCATGTTGTTTAGACAATATATGCTTAATTTGTCATCCATGCTTATTAAAGCAACCACACACACACTCTCTACATTGTAATACATGTTCTTCCCCCCATTAATCATTCATTAAAGGTGTAGAGAAGCTATGCTTAGTGGTGATCTCTAAACCCCAAGATCTCTCTCTCTTTTATTCTCTCTATTGCATTATTGCTTACTTTAGTTTAATTTGCATCTAGTTTAAGTCAACCAACTAACCACTATTTTGATCACTCGACCTACTAACCCTAATTTTGATCCCTCAACCTAATATGACACTCAATCCCTTGGGACGATCCCTACTCACCCTAGCTATATTTTTAGTGAAAGGTAGTAGTGGCAATTTATAAATGTAAAACTTGGCCATATAAGCATAAACTTTAGGTTCGGAGCGCGACAGCCACCAGCTCCTATGGTAATATTGTTCTAACCCTTTGTCTATTTTTGTTCTCATTGCACATTGAGGACACTATGCAGTTCCAGTTTGGGGGTAAGACAATATAATTGCAAGTTTGGTTTGGTGATAAATTTTATAAATTTTAAAATTTGCAATTTGTATGATAAGTCGAGAGCATAAGATGTAATATAAGCATATGTTTGAGTATATTGATGGTTGTGTAATCTATTTGCAGTCTAAAGTTGGTTAGAAATGGTTTGTATGCTAAATTACTGTGAAAGGAATTTCTTGAAAAAATTTTAAATCAGTTGGTAGTCTGTGGTTCACTCTGTTAGGATAATTGTTGTTTAATGATACTGATCTCTAAGATGCTACACTTTGCACATTATTCACACTTGCATGAAGTCTGCGGGGTAGAAATTGGAAGTCTTATTTTATTTTGAGTTAGACTGAAATGATCAGATAAATTTGATAGTTTTGATGACCGAGGCATAAAAGGAAAAAAAGAAATAGAGAAAAATTGGTATGTATGCAATAAAAATAAAAATAAATTCTTCACCAATATGAATGAATAATGAAAAAATATATATATATATGATGAAAAAAAAAGTAGAAAAGGATCAAGTTCAGGTTTATACTTAGATTGCTTGAGTGATTAAGTCCTTAGGGGTGTGTTCTGACACCTAATGCCCTAAGATCGTCTAGTCTGGGAGTCATTGGCTGAAAGCTTGTTACATAAGGGGTTTAGGTTGCCTAGATTACTTGAACAATTAAGTCCTTAGGGGTGTTTTAACACTTAATGCCCTAAGACCATTTGGTCTGGGAGTCATTGGCTGAAAGTTCATTACAAGGGTGATTTAGAAAGCTTAATAAACCTGAACATTGCACAGTATCCTTTTTGAAAAAAATGCATACCCAGAAGAAAAAAAAAATGCCTTGGGAGTTGGAATTTTAAGAGTCTGCTTGTGACTTAAGGAATAACAAGGAATAAATGCAAGTATGGACAGTAAGCCACACGATGAATTGTAGGATCACTTTCAAAAAGCATCTTTAGAGATTAAAATTGTTGAATAAATGATTGAACTGATATGTGGGGACAATGGTTGCTTAATTGAGATTGAAAGTTGAAAGATTTTCTGATTACATGATTGGTATACTTGTTGTATTTGACTGATTAATGAACAACAGGGATAAATGATTTGAAAACAGGCTTGAATTAGCTTACTGTGCATTTAAGGCACTGATTTGAGAAGTTTGTGGGTATCTTCACTGGAAACCCTCACGAGATTACAACTCGTCCACTAGGGGTAACTTAGGGGTTTAAAGGCTTGTTGCATAGGCTAAATGCAACCGTGATTCCCACGAAAGCAGCTTTTTAGTTCTGTATTGCTAAGGGACTATCAATATGTAAGTTTGGGGGTGTGATGAGCGCTGAATATATGCATATTCGAGCTCCTAAGTATGTATATGTTAGGGCTTAAAATAATACTTCTATCCATTATTAGACTAATTTATGATTAATGGCTTAAAGTACTTCTTTTTTCCCTTAAAATTTTTTTTTTTTTAAAAAAAATTGCTTTAAATTTAAAATTTCTGCCACAAATAATGCATTTGGCCGTTAAGGCACTGTTTGGCTGACACAAATAGTGCCTTAATGGCTATAATTTTTTTTTTAAAAAAAAGTTTAAAAAATTCAATTTTGTAAAACTTTTTTTTTAAAAAAAAAACAATTAAAATTAAAAATTTATTCACTTATTACCATAAGATTTTGTATTCCTTATTTTCTTATTCCAATTTGTTATTTTTAATCTTAAAAAATCATTACATAATAAAAATTCTAGTACACGAAATGTCATAACATCCTAAAAGTAAACAAAATGCAACATAAATTAAACATCTTCATCACCATAGCGGTACCACAAATTTTCCATCAAATCATTTCTCAACCGCGTATTTGTCTCTCTGTTGCGAATCTGAAGTTGGCGAGAGAACATGTGCGCTGCTAAAACCGATGGGCATCGACTTAAAGTAATCGAGATTGCATCCTCCAGTGGCGGAGTCCATCGTCCAACATTTACTTGACGCTCATCTTCAATAATCATATTGTGAAAGATAATGCATGTTTTCATTATGAGGCACAAGTCATCTTTCTCCTAGTAACGCACTGGTCCTTGTGTTATTGCCCACTTGAATTGCAATACCCCAAAAGCCCGTTCTATATCTTTCCTACATGCCTCTTGTCACTGAGCAAATAATTTTTCTTTTCCAGTTGTTGGGTGCGGGATGGTCTGCATCAAAGTTGCCCACTTAAGGTATATATTATCAGACAAGTAATACCACATTCTATAATGATGTCCATTCACTACATAATTAACAGGAGGTAATTGGCCATTGACGATACCGTTGAATATAAGGGAATGATCCAACACATTTATATCATTGTGTGAACCCGTCATTCCAAAGAATGCATGCCAGATTCACAAACCTTGTGAGACAACTGCTTCCAATATGAGAGTATTCTTATTAGAGCGTCCCCTATGTGTGTCGTGCCACTCCACTAGGCAATTCTTTCACTCCCAGTGCATACAGTCAATAGAACCAAGCATACCCTGGAATCCTCTATGCTCCCCTTCTTCAAGCAGCCGTGTTATGTCGGCTTTGTTGGGTGGACACATATATTCCTCTGCATACATAGCAACAATAGCATTACAAAATGCCTTCAAGCATTTAATGGCAGTGCTCGCGCCGATTTTAATAGACTCATAATAGTGATCGGTTGCACTGTAATATGCGAGTATACGAACAATAGTTGTCATTTTCTGTATAGAAGACAACCCTAAATGACCAGTCGTATCCTTTTTTTGAACAAAGTAGTCATCATAAGCTTTAACATCATTAAAGATATATACGAAGAAAAAGTTCTCGTCGCATCCTGAATCGTCTGTGAAAGTACTCCGGTGGATATGTGCAATTCTCATCGAAGTCATCTTTCATTAGCTGATAGTGGCTTCCCTCTCGGTCACGATGAATGTACCGTTTCTTATTACGGACTTGAAATACTTGCTCAACTATCTTTGGCCTCACTAAATTCATAATCTCATATAATTCATCTTAATCCTGTTGAATCAACACGGCAATAGAGTCATCTTCCAAAGAGCATGACGAGAAAGATGAAGAATTAGAGTTTGCCAAAGGAAAAGCTTGTGATGACGAAGCCATTGGAATTTCAAAATTGAAAAAGATCGATAATGATATTTTGCTACAATGGAGAGAGATGAATGTACTTATGATTTTCAAATGAGTAAATGAGTATTCATAATATAAGATGAAAAATATAACCGCTAAAAATATAGCTGTTAGAAATATAGTCGTTAGAAATACAATCGCTTAGGAAAAAAAAATTAATTAATTAATTTCAATTATTATTGTTATTATTATTATTATTTTTTTTGGAGAGCAAAAATTCAGAAGGCTTCCATATGTCTTTGAAAAACTTGCCCTTCAATGTAGGGCTTCAACCTTTACCCATTCACTTTGAATGTGTTGCCATCTTTTAAGCTTTTTATCTCAACTGCCCCATGAAGCGCAACAAAAATGATTTCATATGGACCTTCCCATTTAGTACGCAACTTTCCGGGGAAGAGTTTAAGTCTAGAGTTGAAGAGCCAGAATTTTTGTCCGGGATCAAAGGATTTCTTCACAATATGTTTATCATGAAAAACTTTGGTCCTTTCTTTGTAAAATTTAGCATTATCATAAGCATTGTGTCTCAATTCTTCCAACTCAATCAATTGAAGTAAACGATTCTCTCCAGCTTTATCAAGGTCCAGATTGAGCTTTTTAACTGCCCACATAGCCTTATGTTCTAGCTCAACTGGAAGGTGGCAAGGCTTTCCATATACAAGTCTATAAGGAGATATACCAATGGGAGTCTTATATGTCGTCCGGTAAGCCCACAAAGCATCATTCAATTTTTGTGACCAATCTTTCCAGGTTGTGTTTACTGTTTTCTCAATAATTTATTTTATTTTCTGGTTTGACACTTCTACTTGCCCACTCGTTTGAGGATGGTAGGGGGTAGCAACTTTATGAGTAATGGAGTTTTTGAGAAATAATTGCCTCAAGAATTGATTGCAAAAATGATTTCCTCCATCACTAATCATTGCTCTTGGCATACCAAAATGAGTAAAAATACTCGATTTAATGAATTGAACAACCACAGAGTGGTCGTTTGTTTTGGTAGCACAAGCCTCCACCTATTTGGAAACATAATCAACGGCGAGTAAAATGTATTGAAAACCATAGGACATAGGAAAATGACCCATGAAATCAATGCCCCATATATCAAAAATTTCCACCACAAGAATATTTGTCAAGGGCATCATGTCTCTTCTTGACATCGATCCCATCTTTTGACATCGCTCACACTCCTTGCAAAATTTTTAGGCATCTCAATGGATGGTGGGCCAAAATAGCCCACTTTGAAGAACCTTTAAGGCGGTCTTCTTTGCAATAAAATGTCCACCACATGCAAGGGTATGGAAAAACACGAGGACACTTGGCACCTCACTTTCCGGAATGCATTTTCTCACAATTTGATCCGGGCAATATCGAAACAAAATAGGATATTCCCAATAGTATTTCTGGATGTTGGCAAAGAAACAATTCTTTTCTTGCATTGACCAATTAGTTGGAAGCTTGCCAATTACAAGAAAATTCACAATGTCGGCAAACCAAGGCATTTTTTCATTAGATATTTGGAAGAGTTGTTCATCTAGAAATGAATCATGAATTGGTGAGCTTGGGGAAGATTCTACTGATGAGCGCTGAATATATGTATATTCGAGCCCCTAAGTACATATATGTTAGGGCTTAAAGTGATACTTCTATCCATTATTAGACTAATTTATGATTAATATGTGTTTGTAGGTACTTTCCTAGATAAATGGTTAAAACTAGGACTTTATGATGATATAAAAGCTTACAGAGTCGTTGTCGGTCATTCAAGCCTTAGAGCTCTAGCCCAAGTCATTGCCGGTCATTCAAGCCGAGAGCTGATTTGGTGAAGTTTGAAGCAATTCAAGCCTTAGACCTTGAGCCCAAGTGTTGAGGCTCAAGCATCACAACAAAGAGAAGAAAAGTCAATAAGGCCCAAATGCTCGAGCATCAGTACCTTGATGCTCGAACCCTACTGCAAAGATGCTCGAGCCTTATTGCAAGGGTGCTCGAGCCTTGACCCTAAAGCTCGAGCATGAGGCGTCAGAAATTAATGAGTTGATTTTAATTGAAGGCTATGCTCCCAGGTCTCATGCATCACCTCCATGATCGAGCACTATCCACAAAGGATCGAGCATCATCCATTAATGCTCGAGCATTGAGCCCCAGATGCTCGAGCATGGTACCTAGTGCTCGAGCCTATGAAGCTTGGATCGAGCAATGTTAAAGGAGTTCAACCCCAAAAATAATGTAAGTGTTGAAGAAAAAGATGCTTCAAAAAAGAGTTAAAGAAAATTAGCTAAGTGTTAAACTGATGATCGAGCACCATTTACTGAAGCTTGAGCATCCATCCAGAAATGCTCGAGCATTTGTTTCTGATGCTCGAGCATGAGCCCTAAAGCTCGAGCATCCGTTTCTGAAGCTCGAGCATTCCATGAAATGTCAGACTAAAAACTGTGGGATTCCTCTCTTTACCAGCCGTATCTCATCCCAGTTGGGCCAGAGGACCTAAAAGCCCACCAAATACATATTTTCTTCTATAAAAGAAGGAGTAAGCCTTGATAGAAGAGGTCCGAAATTTCAATCTCTTTTACGGTGTTATTCAGAAGGCTGAAGATGTGGTGGCTTTTAGGGTTCCTACAACCTTAGAAGTGCAGATCCTGAGAAGAGAAGCGCAATCCATGGCGGTGGAGATGAACTCAACACAGATGCTATCCAGTCTCATCATGAGTAGCTAAACCCTTTCTTAGGGCACTGATGAAACCCAACCTAAATACTATGGTTTGATTATTTGAACTCTGGGAGTAATTTTAATATATGTATTTTCTTGATTATATGACTATGAGCACTTGGGATAACTCAAGTGGTTTTCATGTTTTAATAGCTTATAAATTGTTATTACCTTGTCTTAAATGTAATAGTCTGTTTGCTATTCTCAACCTACCTTATTGGACGGTATCTGGCGGACCCCTGCCAGTTAAAAGACTAGAGGTCATATAATGGTACTTTAATGCTTTTTTATAAAAGAACGTTTTTATAATCTATACTTAGGAAAGGTCGTTCATTCGCACGGTAGTTAAAGTAGGTAGAGTAGGTAGGCGAAATAGTCCACGCTAACCACAGATAGGTTATAGTTAGCTAAATTTGTAAAAACATCTTTCTTTAAAACCCGAATTGAACGAATGTTATTGAGTTCAATTCACTTGGAAAATCTCATTATTAAATTCCCAGAGTTAGTATAATTAACTATAGTATATGGTTGTGGTGAAGTCAAAGCCCTAAGATTTTTCTCTCTCTGATCACTCAATTTATTTACTTTACTTTTATTTAATATTGCGTTTTAATTATAGTTTGTGAAACTATGACAACCAACAAACTCTCCAACCAAGTTATCTGCAAACCAAGAAATTAATTTAAAGGCTAATACAAATTTCATCTCTCTGTGGGTTCGACATCCTCTGTACATAGAACTATCCTACACGATATCGTTCGATTGCAAGAGATACATCACCATTAATCTTGAAAGATGATCAGTAACCATATTTTCGGTGCCTTTCTTATCTTTGATTTCGAAATCAAATTCTTGAAGAAGCAAAATCCATCTTATTAAGTGAGGTTTCGTTTCTTTCTTGGTTAAAAGATGTCTCAGGGCAGCATGATCAGAATAAACAATGGCTTTAGACCCTAAGAGGTAGGACCAGAATTTATCAAGAGCATACACTACGGCAAGTAATTATTTCTCGGTAGTAGAGTAATTCAATTGAGTTCCCGAGAAAGTCTTGCTTGCATAGTATATGGCACATGGAAGTTTCCCTACCCTTTGTCCCAAAACAGCTCACATTGCATAGTCTGAAGCATCATAAATGATTTCAAACGGTAATGACCAATTGGGAGGTTGCATTATGGGGGCAAATGACAATAAGTCGCGAAGTATATGAAAAGCATCTAGGCATGCTTGATCAAAGACAAAGGGTGTTTCTTTGGCAAGAAGATTGCACAAAGGCCTAGCAATTTTACTAAAGTCTTTGATGAAGCGGTGATAGAAGCCGACATGACCTAGAAAGGAGCAGATTTCTCTCACCGTAGAAGGTGGAGACAATTTAGAAATAAGCTCAACTTTTACTTTATCAATCTCAATACCCCTATTCGAGAAGACATGCCCCAAAATGATCCCTTCTTGAACCATGAAATGGCTCTTTTTCTAACTAAGAACGAGGTTTGTTTAGTGACATTTTTTACGATGACCCAAAGATTAAAAAATCGTCCATAAAAACTTCCAGATAGTCTTCCACCATGTCCAAGAAAATTGACATCATACACCTCTGGAACGTGGCGGGGGCATTGCACAAACCAAATGGCATTCATGTAGAAGCAAATGTGCCAAAAGGACAAGTAAAGGTGGTTTTCTCTTGGTCTAAGGGGTCAAGGGCTACTTGTTTGTAACCTGAATAGCCATTAAGAAAGCAGTAATATTGTTGCCCGGCCAATCTTTCTAGAATTTGATCAATGAATGGCAAAGGAAAGTGATCTTTTCTAGTGGCGGCATTTAATTTTCGGTCGTCAATGCATACACGCCATAAATTGGCGATACGCTTAGAAATTGCCTCACCTTTTGAATTTTCAATCACCGTAATTCCCGATTTCTTAGGAACTACTTAGGTTGGACTCATCCATTTGCTATCAAAGATTGGAGAAATGATCCCGGCATCTAGAAGCTTAACAACTGATGAGTGCTGAAAAGTGAGCATTTAAACCCCTTAAGCTTGAGTATTCTAGGACCTTATTCTATCTTATTTTCCCGTTTTAGTCTAATTTCATGTTTTTATCTATTTCAGATCAATAATGTTAAAACGGGCTAAAAATGGTTTCTTAAGGCCTTTTTAGAGTCAAACTAAGTCTTTGTGAGAATCTGGAGCAAAAGGAGGCTGATCTGGAGCAAAAGGAGGCTGATGTTGAAAAACTGCCAAGTCTGATCGATCGAAGAAAAGTTGGATCGATCGAACCAACTCTGATCGATCGAAGAAGAGTTAGATCGATCGAACCAACTCTGATCGATCGAAGAAGAGTTGGATCGATCGAACCAACTCTGATCAATCGAAGAAAAGTTGGATCGATCGAACTTTGATCGATCGAATATATTTTGGATCGATCGAAAATGTGCTGGTAGCGAGCTGTCTTATTCCCGCGCGCCCGAACTCCATCTACCACATAGTTGCGGGATTAAATATTTTTGGGGCTGTATTTCTGACTTAGTGACTAAGAAAAGGACCTTATATTTAAAGGGAATTGAACCATTTTGTAAAGGGGCTTTTTATCATTTTATTTTTACATTGTAATTTTTGTTTTCTCTCTAGAAAAGTTAGAGATTAGGGTTAGAAAAAAAGAGAAGAGTGGAGGCACCAAGAACACATCTCAAGATCTACACACTCTTTCTCTCTAGAATTCAACAAAGAAGAAGAGGAAGAAGATGGAGCCATGTTTGGGGATTGTCCTTAAGGGTTCCAAGATCACACCCACCTCCTCTATGATTAGCTAGGCTTCTCCATGGGGTTTGGATAAACCCCAAACTTGTAAATTAAACCCTATCTCTTGACTTTTTGGGGAATTTATCTTGTGATTAGTGCTATAAACTTGTGAA